TTAAGTTGTTGTGGGAGACAGGAGCCCAAACTAGGTAACCCTGTGCTATGGGTCTCCTGGCATGTTTAAATTAAGTTTTCTTCACCATTTGCCTGCATTACTTATTCTGAACCTTCTCTGCAAATTTGGTCGGTTGAGGTTGAGTTGCAAAATAACTAGTGACCGACCGAAGGTTCGGTTTCGGTTTCGGTTTCGGCAAGTTTCGGCAAAAAAATCTAGTTTCGGTAATAGTTTCGGTTTCGGCAAAAAATCTGCCGAACCTTCGGCGGCGCGAAACTCAGTGTTTGGATTATCGTGCGTCGTTTGGATGAGTTTGTGACTCGTGTATTAATTATACAGAAACAGAAACTTTTTTATTCAACATAGATTCTAAATAATACTTATTGAAAGTCACTCGTTTAATTACCACTAGTTCGAAAAAAGCCTCAGTCCTTGGAAGAAGAGACGTATCAGCAGATTTGGACAAGCTTAGGCATCGGTATGAGTCAAGTGCACAAAATCCTCCATGAACATTTAGCGGTCAGGAAGCTTTGTGCCTGGTGGATACCTCAAAATTTAACAGAGGCCTAAAAACTCCGTCGTATTGATTGGTGTCAGGAAATGGTTCACAGATTTGACGGAGGTGACAAAAATGCTATACATACATACGGGTTACGAAAGCTGGGCTTATTGTTATGATTCTGAAACTAAGAGACAGTCTGCTGTCTGGATGTCTCCTTCCGAGGAGTTGCCAACTAAAGTGAAGAGAGGTCGAAGCGTGGGAAAAAAGTTGGTGGCCTCGTTCTTCGGAAGTACAGATCATTACAGGTCATCATACGCAACAATTGTTTTAGAGGATCGAAAAACAGTTACTGCAGAGTGTGTAGTGTGTAGTGTACCACACACTAACAATTGTTTGCCACTTGTCTTGGAAAAAGTTCGGGAGAAACGACCTAGCAACAGGATCCTCCTTTACCACGACAATGTCTCGACGCACTCCGCCAAGCATACAATCGACTACTTGGCGACGTCAGACGTGGAATGACTGGGTCACTCGCCCTATAGCACTGACCCCACACCTTGCGATTTTCATTTATTTGCGAAAATAAAAGAAAAACTTCGAGGAAAACCTTTTATGGACTCCGAGGAAGGAATGGCTGCGTTTTAAAATGCCGTCGAAGAGACCCCTAAGGACGAGTGGGTATAGAGCTTTTCTCAGTGGTTCCATCGGATGCAGCGATGTATTGATGTAAATGGACACTATTTTGAAAAGATATAATAAATACATATCTGCATTTTGATTCTTTATTGAGGATAGATGTGGATGTCTATGGGTCACAGTGACCCCTTACCATCAGGTGGACTGTGTGCTCGCTTGTCACGCTATCCTATAAAAAAAATAACTTGCTAGTTTGTTCAGTTTTTGATCTTCTAAGAACTTTCAGTGTCGCCCTCGTACCTACTCATATCTATTAATTCCTGACAAGTCTCGTATTCCGTCAATGAAACAATCGTGGTTTTTTAAGAACGTTACAACCGCCTCACAGTCGCATTTAAGAGGGGCTTCTTGCGATGTCTCAAACAAACACACTTACATAAATTTGTGCCTTTTTTTCGAGCGTAAAAGTGATCAAATTAATTAGTCATCTGTGGTAAAGTCGGGCATCGCATATTAGGGGGCCTCGCGAGGCCCCTTTAAGTGCCGTGGGCGGGGGCAGCTTTAGTATATTTTCTGGGATTTTGTTAAGTTGTGTGTATATTGTGTGTAAGTGTATGAGTGTGATATATTAAGTTAATGCTCTCATTGAATAATATTAACAATATTGTGAACACAATAAAATATGTTCTCAATTAGCGAGTAACTTTTTATGGGTGTAAGTGTTGATTTTTCTACAAAATTGACTTAAAAAAGTATTTCTTTTTCTTAACGTTAAATTGTTGAATTTTTACTTTAAAATAAATAAATATATTGCTACATGACTATTACAATAACTGTTTTTCATTAACATGCATTACCTATCTGTATATGTATAAAAATATACCAGACTTCAGTATACAATAAAAAAATTAACATGTTTAAATAAGTTTCGGTTTCGGTTTCGGTTTCGGTTTCGGCCGAAACTGACACCCGGACCGAAGGTTCGTTTTCGGTTTCGGTTTCGGTTGAAAATCCTGTTTGTGTCGGACACTAAAAATAACCCTGTATGACTACTAGAGCAATGAGGCTGTCATCTTCAACAAGAGCTCTGCTTTCAATCAGAGCATGCCAAATCTTGAGCAAGTTTTGGCATGCTCTGATCACGAATCCGCGGTCCATTTTTGTGTAGAATGCACGGTTCCAGAGATGTGTAGATCAATTAGCTAATATCTAATTGATATCCGGTAAGGGCCTCCACCGTCATTAGCGTCCCATTGTTCCTATTTCTATTGTTCTATTGTTCCTTAATCACCTTCATTGCAGCGTGTGCGTCGACTATATCAGTGCTATTGTTTATTATAATTCTTTGTTTATACAACGCTAATCTGAATCATCAATAAAACACATTACATAATTTTGTTACAATTTTTATTTATAAAATACAAAATCTTATTAATTATTATCTATAAAATAGGAGCGAAACATCTCATCCACTAAAATATCGTTGTACAATGTGTTCCTTGTAAATATACTCGTAAAACTATGTATTGAACATCCTTGAAACTTATATAGCAAATACATTAAGCAATATTCGCCACAAACTGAAGTCCACTCATTCTGAATCCTATCAACATTCCAGTTCCATCTTTTACAATTCCTTTTTAAAAACTCTAGATGATATCGTACAGGTGATCGTCCATATGAATCAAAATATTGACCGACGTCATTCGTATCGATATATAAAGCTACCCAATGTGACCCTGGTTTATCATCTGTATCCAAATTACATATTATATACGTTGGTACGTGGGTATACATAGGCAGTCTATTAGCTGCATAAACATTATTTTCTAGACTGGGGTGAATCTTTTTCAGATGTTGTTGTACATCTAGTGTATCCATGATATTACTGCTATTAGTAGATTATTACAGTACCTAGCTACTCAATGAATAACATAGGAATGGTCAATTATAGTGATTTCTACATATTAAATTGCATTTTTGTGATATAAAAATCGTACTTGAGTCATTGATCACCAAACAAAACACAATACGAAGAAATGTTGAGATAGGCAACGGAAATGCGAGATAAACTGATATGTTTCTAAATATTAAATTGCATTTTTGTGTTATACAAATCGTACTTGAGTCATTGATCACCAAACAAAACACAATACGAAGAAATGTTGAGATAGGCAACGGAAATGTGAGATAAACTGGTTGACGCATAAAGTAATTATCAACTCATTACGGAAATACTTTAGATTAGAATTTTTACGTACTGGTGGTATATAAGACCAACAAACGCACTCATCGAGTTAGTGTACGGTCGTTTGGCTACAGTGGATCTATCAATAGTACATTTGTGTTACTTCAATACACCAAAGGCTATGGATGTAAGTGTTTATTCTATTGACTAAATTACTTTTTTTCTGTTATTTTCATGTGTGTGTATTATTTTATTTAAATATTGTGTATGTATATGATTAAGCCGTGGTAACTCAGATGGTTAGCGCTAGCTGTAAATTTCACAGTACGCGACCCGGGTTCGATCCCCGCCAGCACCAATTAAATTGTTAATAGCAATTTTAAGTGCTTATTACCACGTGCTTGGTGGTGAAGGAAAACATCGTGAGGAAACCTGCATGTCTGAGAAAATTTCGAAGGCATGTGAAGTTCGCCAACACACATTGAGGGAGTGCGGCGGACATTTCCTTGCTCTAAAACCCTCTCAGAAATGAGAGGAGGCCTATGTTCAGCAGTGGACTTTAATAGGCTGTAACTTTAACTTTTTTATCTTTTATGATTAAGTGTTAACAAATTGATATTAACATGATAACTGTGTTGTTGCAGAAATCATTGAGCTTCGATGAAGATACCTATAAACAGTATTACTACTCGCCACTCTCCCCTCAAGAAGAGAGTGATAACCTCGTCATTAATAATAACACATGCGATGGTGGAAAAAGAAAATCGCAATCGATTGATCATTTTTTTGAAGCTGAATCAAAAATAAAAAAGAGGAAGCTGTTATCATCAACCGTAGCACGAGCCGCTAGAGATGGTGTATCATACATTTCTACTAATTCTGACGACGGAGACCAAGCGACGCATCTCATCAAAATTGAAATGTACGATATGAAGAAGCTATCCAAGATTCCAACTACTGATCATTGGAAACATGCTTCCACGAGAATTAAATATTACGTAAAGACTAATAAGGATAGCATCTACGACAACACAAACGCCCTCGTATACAATATAACAAAGACAATAGCAGAAAGTGAAAAAGTTAAAAAATACTTTTTTAACAATGACAGTCATTAGCTGATCATTAGTGAATGTGATTCTGTTTACTTCAATTACAGGAAGACAAGAGCGGAAGAGTGTGGCATACGTGTACAAAACACATCATTGAATAACAAAACTACAACACTGAGTGGAGAAGAAAACGAGAAGAGTATGCAGTACTCAAGAGCTGAATATCCATTCTTCAGTTCAAAATCTAGCCGTTTGCTTAGTTTCGAAAACTGGCCTCTAGTTATGCGACAGAAACCTGAAGATCTTGCCGAAGCTGGTTTCTTTTATACTGGCCATGCAGACGGGACCAAGTGTTTCCATTGTGGTGGTGGTTTAAAAGATTGGGAAGATGATGATGATCCTTGGCAGCAGCATGTTCAGTGGTTTAGTCAGTGTGCTTATGTAAAATTTCAACTCGAACAGTGTTTTGTATTAGATTAAATAGAAGATTTATAAAGAAATAAAAAAAATATATTGCATACAATTTGTTTTATTTAATTTTATAACGTTTCACATAGTTACATACACACAAAATGCATTACACATAACACATAAAATCTAACACACAACACATATTATAACCTTAACTACTATAGTCTACAGTAACATTTCTGTTTTTATCTATCTCAATAATATTATCAAACTCAGCATAAACTATACAGTTAATTGTTTGTATTAATGAGGATTCAAATCGTACTTCTATTCTTACACTACCATGCTTTATGAGATTCCAATGAGTTGATGAGTTAGCTGATAAATCAGGAGTTAAGTCAAATGCTAATAGACAGTAACCTTTGCCATACTGTTCACAAGAGATTCCATTTCCTTCATTAAGAAAGTGAATACCAGTTCCCGAGAATAGAGTATGATATGCTGATGTAAATATGCTATTATTAAAAGATGGTTGCAAAGCTTTTGAAGGTATTTGTTGACCATCAATATATAAGCTGAAAGAATTAATACCATAGTTTTCAAAGTTAAATGGATTTTTAGTAAGGGAACCATTAAATGCAGAATTGTTCACAAATCCAATTATACATCTTTTCGGTACCTGTCCTAAAAATATATTATCAAGAGTTTTTCCTTGAACACCTGAAGGAATTGTTAAAACTTTTACTTCAGCTCGAGTAATAGGATATTTAGCAGTGGTAGAAGCTAAAACTTTTTGATGTGCGAGTAATACACTTGGATTAATTCGTGCTCGTCGCACAATAAGAGTTGCGTCCGTAATGCAAACTTTAAACTTTACATCGTTCGACCCAACAATTAAATTAAAACTCTCTCTTGATCGAACCAATTTAACACTCATTTCAACACCATTAATTAAAAATTTATCTTGGTTAAAAATGTCACCGTGAAGATGACCAATCATTTCTATTTCCTTACTTTCACTAATCAATTCCTGTCTTTTAACAAATCCTATGTTTTTACCATCTGTAGAATCCATTTTTCCTGCTGTATCCTCATACCAAAGACTACAAGTAAGATGAGATTGTTTAGCAGCAGGGGCATAGTTTAAAAGGGTTTCCATGTATGCTCGATATGCATAGGTATTATTAGGTGGTGATACAAGTTTTTGGTTTAAATAAACATCAAGTAGACTAAAAAGTGAATGCAGCCAATTATTTACAGGTGCTACTATTGTAGTAGATACCAAGTTAGTTGAATCTTGATTTAATACTTTTGCCTTTATGTGGAGTAATGTATGAGACAAATCTATGTAGTCATCGCCGGTTCCAGGAACTTGAAACTCGATAGGTCCATCATCACCAAGAGATGAAATTGGTTTATAATGTATCCACAATCCATTTTCAATGCTAGTTTGTGTAGACGGTAGTGCAAACAAATCCAATTCTGACTTAACGCACTCGCAAGAATGATTATGAAGGAAAGACATATTTAGTTTGAAAATATATCTTTGATATTTTTTGGTTTTAGACTAAGTTTTTTCGCAGCTTTCACTTTAGCAGTTAATGGTGGAATGAACGATGTCAATCGTTTTCTTTTAGTTTTATACCCAGATCCAGTCATGTTAAATTGATCAATTTTCTCATCAGCCTTTCGTTTTAAATTCGTACTAACTTGCTTTAGACGATCTTTTATTTAGGCTTCCATAGGACGGGCTTGAACCATATCCGATAAAAGTCCTACTCCAGCGCTTAATGCCTCCTTACCAATCACTCGAGCACCACTTGAAAGTAAAGGTAAAACTGATCTGAATAACCCCCCTAAGAAGCTCCCAATACCATGACCGCGTTGATATGGTGAACCCTTATAAATTACTCCAACTCCTGATCCAGCTTGATGTGTATAATAATTTTCATATGGACATTTATGATGATCACGAAGAGAATTCATTATTATAATTTTCGGAAATGTAGTTTAATACACACGGTTCCAAACTGGAATGGTATTTTTTGTCCTGTACTCGATCTTATAACTATTTCCAACGTATCGAACTCTCTTCGCATAACAGGTAAGTAGTGAGGTTGAGAGAAAACGTGCATTTTATTTGCACCATAAATGTATTTTGTAGGATCTAATGAAATGACTCTTAATAAAGGAGTCATAACATCACCCACAATCTGAGGATCGATAATATCGCAATATAGAAATAGTTGAGATGGTAACCCTAAGTGTAAATTAGCAGGACACTTTCCAAAATTTCTCTCTAGGAGATTTTTATTTGGTTCATAACCTAGCTGTAAACTTAATTTGGGTGATAATGTTACGGATGTTATATTTTTATCCAATACCGAAATAGACACAAATTTTGTTATTTCATCATAGCGAAATTTCAAGTTCTCTCCGATACCATTTAACACTCTTAAAATATGCTCAACGTTATCATAGTTGGTAGCTGGAATATGTTTTTTGTAGTACACTGTGGATGGCTTATCTTCATTAGGCATTAACATAGATTTTGTAATGTATATAACATTTTCATGGTCTTGAACAGTAAACATGGTACATGGATATTGAAACTCGACAACTCCAACCGACCATTCACCTTCTAATTTTATAGCTTTTGGTAATTTCGTTGAAAAATTTGTGGTCTTGTTATCAGGAAAGTATTCCATTGAACTATTGCTGAGCAAAGTTAAATAGAAACTTTCTTTATTCATATTTCTTTTAAACTAGAAGCTAAAATCCAACTGTTAAATTTATCTGGATAACCTTTCCACTTCACTAATACTTCTTTTCTGTTACCTGAATAACGAGTGTCAATTATTTTATCTATTTTATGTTGTGAGGTGGGGTTGTAAGTGATTTTCTGTAATTCTCTTTCATAAAAAGTACCAATTATTGGTTCATTTTGTAAATCTGTTATTGTATAAACAACCCATGGAGATCTATCAATTATTGAAGATATAATAAATATTTCATCACTCCAATTTGATTCATATCCTTTTTGGAATACATGTTTATATTTAGTTATTCGAACATAATCACCCACATTGAAATTTGGTTTAGGATTTTCTAAAGAAAGTTTTTTTGACCGTCTGTCATAAAGATTAGTCCAAACTGTCATAATATTGTTGGAATTTACATCACATGGGCACATCTTAATACTAGAGTGAAAGCTGTGATTATAAGAGTATATTAAATCTTGTAAAACATCTATATATCTATAAGTATTATTATGAGTGAAATAACGCCACATTTTCATTTTTAGTGTTCTTTGAAATCGTTCAACAATACTGGCCTTAATGTCAGGATTGTTAGTGGTATAGTAATTAATCTTTTTGGATTTAAAGTATTTTTGTACATCTTTTGAAACAAATTCGGTACCTTTATCGGATTGTATGTGAGTAGGTGTTAAATTACTTTCAGTAAATATACTTTCAAAACATTCTTTAGTTGTTTCTGAGTTTTTCTTTTTCATTGGTCTTGCAAAAGCATATTTACTAAATACATCAATAATACAAAGTATATACTTGAAACCATCATTATATTGAGAATAAGTTCGCATATCACTTAAATCAGCTTGCCACAGTTCATTAATATTTGATAGAATGTACCTATTACGCGGGAATTTTTTTCGAATGGGTTTATGTAATGTGTATGTTTCTTGTGATTTTAACCATTCCTTTACTTGTTTTTTATTCATTTTACCCTTCATGGCTTTTGATAATTTATCAATACTACCAAAACCAGCGGGATTAGATGGATCATAATAAATCCTGTTAATTTCTTCTAGTACGGAGTCCATTTTTCCCACTCAAGTCCTTTACGTATTTTAGTTGTAGACTTTTTATCTCTACTGCACGGTGTAGAAAACTCTTGAACTTCAATCTCAGAGGGTTTGTTCAGATCTTTTGCTTGAAGTTGGTTAATAAACTCACATCTCCTTGGATTTCCAATATAAGTAAGTGGTACTTTAATATCTTTTAATGCTTCAGCAAATCTAACCCACCCTACCGGATCACTTCTTTTTAGGGGTCTTAGTGAATCATTTATTAAATCAACAATATTACTTCCAGGAATTTTTTCACTATCAATTATGACTGAACCTTCGTTATCCCAATGTATTTTACTTTTACTTGTTTCAACTAAGTTTAATAATAACTGCCCTTTTTTATGATAAGTTTTTGGTATTAAACTGAGTATTTGAGCTGGTGTGTAAAGTGGATTTTCATCATTTTCTTTACTTTTAATGGATCGATTCTCCTCCAGCAAAGATTCAATATCAACTGAAGTTTTTAGATCTCTATCTTTATTTTTAAAACCAATTTTTGACTCATTTGAATCTTCATTAGATGTATCAGAATAAATTGGTAATTTGAGTGGTTGACGATCCTCTTCGGTAAAATGAAGGTATCTTTGCAGTGTTTGTAAATATAATATCCATTTCTTTCGGTCTTCCGTCTTACTATTCATAATATTTTGCATTTCAATATCTAATCGAGATAAATTACTATTAACCTTATTTTCTTGTTTTAATTTTTCAATCAATCCAGGTTCGATAAGTATCATTTTCTTTGCATTTTCCATGTTAACTGGCTAGTCCACTCACTAATCCACTCAATATTGCACCTAATATTGTTGGTAAGAAAGCCCCTCCTTTTTGTATAATTATATTTTTTCTTAGTTTATGTTTACACTTACGTACTAGTTTACGGAGTATGTTTTTATGTTTATTCAATTTTTGTTTATCCTGATCTTTAAGAGGTACTTTTCCTTGTAAAACGTTATGAATACACTCACAAATACAGTTAATTTCTTCTTCATCACACGTTTTAAGTAATGCTCTTTGATATTTTGGTTTAAGCGTATGCAAAGCGGTTAGCAAATGTTTATACGTTGTGAGTCGACGATGCATCATTTAGCAATGATTTCAATTGTTTGATTCTTGTTGTATTTAAACTCTTTTGTGGGGACGTAGACTGTACAGAAACCATTAAATGGAAAGACATTTGTCTTGATACGACAAAAATCATTGGTATTCTGTTTTAAATCTACCATTAAATATCCATGTGCCTCTAGAGTTGCATCCCTGTAGGCATTTTCAATGAATTTTGGGTTATCTGGTGATACTTGTCTTGCTAAATATCTTATTTGAGTTTTATCTCGAGGGTTTTTAAAATATATTATATAACTTGAGTTTAAAGATATGTCTCTTTGTCCTTTACCCTGATGAAATAAATTTTGTGTTAGATAAAATACACTAAGATTCCTGTGATGACTACCTTTTGTAAATATATCCACAATTCTTCCATCGGACTCTCTCATTAGATCATCAATAATAACAAGATGTGGGTTTTCACCATCAAACATATTAAGATTTGGAATTCCTTGATGATAGTTAACATTTGGTAAATTATATAATGGTTGCATTTCATCAAAGCACCATGTGATCTGATTAAAATCACAATTACATATTTCTGTAACTGATTTTATGAAATTTGTTACAAAATTTGACTTCCCACACCCACTTGGTCCTGCCACAATAGCAGTGAACGGATGGATAAAGTGAAACATAACACACGTCTAAAGTTCAAAGGGGTGAAATAAAAAATGAAAGTGTTGGTGTAAACAATTAATATATATTCCAAAAATTATATAAAACAGAATTATCTGTATACTATTTCTAACACAATTAGTACATCATAATTTTACAATTAACTCAACCTCAAATAAATAGAAACAACAATTAGTACATCATAATTTTACAATTAACTCAACCTCAAATAAATAGAAACAACAATTAGTACATCATAATTTTACAATTAACTCAACCTCAAATAAATAGAAACAACAATTAACTTAAATTATTTACAATAAAACAATGTTTAAATATGTAATAAACTACGTCATATTATAGTATTATCATAATTTTACAATCAATATAAATTTTTCTTAAACGCAGACATAAAAGTAAAAACTATCAACACTTAACGCAGTTTATAATGACCCCAAGCTAATGTTTCAATATTATTATCTAAAATATGTCTCTTTGTGTCATTATATGATAAACCTATCTTATTTAATTTTTGTGTGAAAATTGTGTGTTTAATTGATTTAAATCTAAGCATACTATAATATTGCACTTTTTTATTAAATAGAGAAGACTTATAACTATTCATTGTCATCTTTTTAGTGATACATTTATTTACCCCTTTTGCCTTGGCTATAGTCTTATTCTCTAAGTTAAAAGCGTACATTTTGGATCGTAAACCCACAAATTCTTTCATGATTTTACCATTATTTTCATCTTTAAAAAAACCTAATTTCTTTTTATTTAATTTTGGATATTCAAAAATATTATTTGTATCATAATCTGAGGTATCAAAGTATGATGAAAGGTCAGGTTTTATATCAGTGTAAAAATCATTTGTAAATATATGATATATTAAACTATCCGTATCTGTATACAATAATTTGATTTTACTAAAC